AAAGTATGGAAGCACAGTGAAACCTAATATCAACAACCTTGAGCCCTGGCCCAGCAACTCCAGTGAGAGTTGCCAGTTGGGCCAAGTGGAGTAACCAAACACCCAGCATAAGGTGGAACTGACCTCTAAATCTATCAGCATTGCTACAACCTATGCAGAAGTCTTTGGTGGCATTTTGCATCAAAGTGCATCAGAATTTCTGCCTGATGCACTGTGCTGTGTCTGGCAGGGTTAGGGTTAAAGCAAGATCCTCCCTAGACTGCGCCAAGGCTTGTATTACTATAGTGCAGATCTGCCTATATGCACACCTACGTACCGCTGGACGCATCGCCGCCAGCGGATTGTTAGGATTCCACTTGAGTGTTAACATCTTTGTATTTGAAACAGAACAGCAGTTGTGAAACTTGGATGTGGAAGTTCAGTTGCTACTGTTAATGTATATAAATACCATTTGTAGTGTATTGTACGTGCATACTCGTGAACGTGGTTGATATCAATGATGTGAATAGATCTTTCGAAGGTTAATATTTTGATGCGTTTAGAATTGAATCTCACTGTCGTATGAAAAAATATATTTGGTATTTGTAAGACATTTAAAGCCAACAAGCCATATATTTTATTAAAGACCTTCAAGATCGCCACGGATGAGGATGAAGCTATTTAATGGCATGAATGGTGAAGACTCATCAACTAATGCCCCCGTCCATGTAAGTATTGTCTTTCTAACACAAATTGTGCCATGGAAAGACATTTTATTTTATTTTCCATCCGTCTGAGGTTTGGTGCTTCCTGCAATAACGATTGCTCAATAGTCAGAGTTTACTGGCCCACCGTGGCATAGCCGCCCACATGGTAGATGGTCGCTGAAGAAGCATTTTTCGCAAGGGAATATCATGACTGGATAGCTATGTCTTGCAAGTGTACGTCATGTAAGCACCCAATATCATTGGCGGGCTCTGTAACCTGAAGATCCCCCCCAAAATGAGACTTTGTCCCAAGTTTTTTTTATAGAGGAAGCATAAGGCGGTGTCCAGCGGCTGCTTTCCTTTTACCCCCTTGCAGTTTCTGGTCACCACTTATTTATCATCACTATCTTCTGATGAGGAAGAGGAGAAAGTTTCATCCGAGGATATTTCAGAACCACTATCTGCTAAAATTTCGTTGACAATGTCCAAAGCTCCGGCCATTTCGCTTCTTGTGGTTTTTGTAAGGGCTTGTCTAGCGCATCCCCAAGCCATCTCGTCCAATCAGAGCGCTCAAGATGATGTCAAACAGGTGAGAGCGCACTATTTACATTCCTGTTGCTGGCATTTGGTCTGTGTGCCAAAGAGGAATGTTGGTAACCTAGTGACACTGAAATCGTGAAACACAAAGGCTCGTTGGGAAAGGTGCCGCTTGCCACTTTGAGTCCAACTGGCACTTCTTGGGCTGAAAGGGCTATTATTATTGTCAATGGTTTTTGTGCAGGTCCTCCACACGCGCTCACGTTCACCATCAGATCCCAGGCAAAGCTTACAAATAACCACCTTAATTGCATTCATATGCTCTTCATCCATTTCCATCATTCCTCTTACCCCGCAAACATTTGCATTCACTCTCTCTGTGTCAAAGAATAAAAGAGAAGCTAATTTTCTGGCAATTTCTTGGGCACAAGACCTGCCACCTGCTCTACTACTTTCTGGCTAACAATTCATTGTGGTTTTCCATTGGTATCGGGCGTCTCTTCCAAGTTACTCCAGATCTCCTCAATCGATTTTTTATTATTTTTTTGCACTGCTGGGGCGTTTATTACTGTTAGTTGATAAACTTTCTCCTTAAGTTCGACAATTCGTTTGATCATGTCACTGTGACATGAATGACAATTTCTCATGCAGGAACACTCACAATTCAATTCTTTCTCTTTGCATTTGTGGAGGGGTGTGGGTAGTCGAAACTTGCAAGTTTGGAGCTTGTAGAGTTATTTAGCTGGTCTCCAGTGGAAAGCTCCAGCTTCTTGATGGTTGGTCCCTGGAACCTGAGACACTGGAGAACCTTGGGGTTGGGGGATGATGCAATGCTTGAATGGTAGGTTTGTTGATTACTGAAGTTTGAAATGGTTGTGGGTCTCTGGGCTAGTGCTGGCTGAGTGCTTAAGTAGTGTCTCATTTGAGTCAAGGAGCTTGTGGCCGTTGCTGTTGAGCTCTTCGGCCGATTGCTTGAGTGCAGGTCGAATGCTTGGGTAGGGAGTCGGTTGGTCCAAGAAGCATGACAATGTAAAGGGACCATGGTTGGTCCAAGAAGCATGACAATGTAAAGGGACCATGGTTCGGTGCTGGTTGAATGCTTGGGTGGGGAGTTGGTTGGTCCATGAATCTTGATGATGCAGAGGGACCCTTGTTTGGTGCTGGCCAATCGCTTGAGTGGGGAGTCAGTAGCTCTGTGATGCGTGACAATGAGAAGGGACCCTGGTTCGGTGTTGGTTGATTGCTTTAGTGGGAGGTAAGTTGGCTCATGAAGCGTGATGTGAAACGTTACGTGAAGCGTGACGATATTGGGGCACCCTGATTCAGTGCAGGCCGCATGCTTGAGTTTTGGGAGTCGGTTGGTCTGTGTGGTGTGATGATCCAGAAAGACCCTCGTTCGGTGCTGGCTGATCACTTGGTGGAGTCGGAAATCTTGGTGAGGATGGAGTAGAATTTAAAGACATGTCACTTTTACTGTTGTCCAAGTCAAACATGTGTCTGTTTGCTGTTGGGGTGACGGTGTGTTTTTATTTTTATTTTTTCAGAATCTCTCACTTTGATTTTGTGTTTTATTTTGGCTATGGTCTCAGTCACTTTTTTTTGGTAGATCGTCGACTGTTTTCTGTGGTGGTACTTTATACCCAGGGTCAAAATCATCGCTATCATCGGTGTCACTTTCCGTTGAATCTGGGCAAACTGTGATGATTTGAGCCATCTGAAATTTGAGAAAATGAAGATTTCAATTAATTTATTGGAAAGGTTAAACACGTATTATAAT